AATTAAAGAAAATCACCAACCTCAAAACCGCAAAATGTGCATATTACGCCTATGCTGATGCGTGGCTCCGATATGGAGTGACATTGTGGGGAAACAGTTCGGACGTAAATGAGCTTTTTATATACCAAAAGAAATGTATCAGGATACTGGCAAACCTTAAATCGACAGAAAGTTGCAAGCCGCATTTCCAAAAGTTATGTATACTTACCCTGCCATCGATTTATATCTTGGAATGCAGTAAATTTTTAAGAAAGTATAGGCACCTTTTCCCGAGTGAGCAACAAGCAGTCAATCTACGACCAAGACACAGAATACCCCTTCCACCGTCAAAATTGAAAATACACAGTTCAGGCACTCATATAATGTGTATAAAAATATATAATAAGATCCCCAAAACAATCAGGGACGAGGTTAACGATAACTCCTTCAATAAAAAACTAACTCTTTATTTGTTAGAAAAATGTTTTTACACGTTGCAAGAGTTTTTCGAGAGCAAAAATATACTATAGGTAAACATTATTGTATGTGCCAAATGTTAATTGTATTTTGTTTAATTTTTTTTTTTTTATCAATTTTTAAAATTTACTATTATGATTTAAGTGATTATTATTTTCAATTTCAATTTTATTTAGAACAAATTTATATAATGTTACATGACTTAAAACTATGAAATTATTTTAAATGTATATATTTTAAATTATTCAAATTTTTATTTATTTTTTTTTAATTATTTTTATTATTATTATTTTTAATTGTATCAAAAATTTATATTTAAGGTAAATTGCGGCGCCCAGCAGGGTTACATGGCTGGACTGATCACTAATCTAATTACTTTTGTACATTACCCATGTGATGCAATGAATAAATGATTATGATTAAGATATTTAATTGTTTATTTAATTTGTTATATATAAATGCTGATTGCGAAGTGTACTGTCTTTGTGCAAAAGTAGTTCTAATTTCCTGTACATTAGCAACTGTGTCTTTTCGCCTTCTTGTCATTGCATCAGAGAAAAATGGTAGAGACTTGTGCAATCTTAAAATTGTTGACAAGATATACAGTTTTCTTACTGTCAAGACCTGACTGAGATTATATAGTTCCTCCGTAGGGAATCTAAAAGGTTTGAAATGTATTACTTTAAGTAAACAGCGCTGACTTCCTTCGATTTCCAAAAATTTTGATTTTGTTGCACCTCCCCAGATTGAAATACAATAACCCATTATCGACTGTGCCAGGGATATGTATATTTGTTTAATCAGTTTTTTACCAGCTACATGTCTCAATTTCCTAAAAATCCAGGTCAATTTTCTTACTTTTCCGCACATAAATTCAACCTGGGGGTGCCAACTCAAGCGCCAATCTAAGACAACTCCTAAGTACTTACAAGAGGAAACTCTTTCAATAACAGTACAAGCACAATTACTAGAAGCAGTACTGTCACAATGATGAATTCTCAATAAGAGATCATCTCTTGGTTGCGATGTATTATTTATAGAAAAACATATGTAGTTTGATTTAGCAGTGTTTAAAGTAAGAAGATTATGTTGGAGCCAATTAGTTACTCTTGTGAGTGCAGATTCAGCGTTTGCAAAGACCGAGTTCCACGTTGCGCCTGCAAAAACGATTGCGGTATCATCCGCATAGGAAATAATGCGGCCACTTTCTAAATTCATATTCAACAAATCATTGATGTAAATCAAAAATAACGTAGGACCCAGCACACTGCCCTGGGGAACACCGAACGATATCATTGAGTCCTTACTAGTGTAATTATCAATTTTCACTTGCTGAGTTCGATCACGTAGGTAATCACTAAGTAAGTTCAGTGGAGTACCTCTAATGCCAATACACTCTAGCTTGTGCACAAGAATGGGATGTGAAACAGTATCAAAGGCCTTTTTAAGATCAAGAAACACCGCTAAACATTTCCTACCTTTATCCAGCTCTTTAGTCACAGACGACGTCAAAACAGAAACCGCATCCTCAGTGGACATTCCACGTCTAAAACCGAACTGAGAATATGAGAGAATTTTAAAGTTCTCGAGGTAAGAAATTAGACGGTTGTTTATTAGCTTCTCAATTATTTTAGATATAACGGGTAGCACTGAGATGGGCCTGTAATTGTTAACGTCATCTTTGCTCCCACTCTTATGCACAGGTGTAATTAAAGATTTTTTTAGACAGACAGGAAAAGTTCCTTTTTGAAAACAAAGATTAGTTAGGTGACTTATTACAGGAACAACAAAAGATCTTGACATTTTTAAGAACCTAGTGGATATGTTGTCCCACCCAGGCGCACTCTCAGATCTAAGTCCAGATAGGATATCGTCAACTTCCCGAGGATCAGTCTCCAAAAGAACAAAAGATGACAGCTGTGTAGGCAAAGACGGAAGATTGTCAACTGGAACGGTAATATTTTTTGTGAGGATATCTTCAGCAAGGTTCCTTCCAACATTTGCAAAAAAGTCATTGACACAATCTACTGAATCGTATGGTGTTGTTTTAATATTTAATAAGTCAGTATTCAATGTTTTTTTAGGTCTTAAGTTAGTTATAGTTTTTATTGTTTTCCAAAGTTGCTTCGAGTTTTTTGAATTTTTATCTAATTGTTCTCTTTCGTGCTTGTGTTTTAATTTCTTTAATAAATTATTGCAAAAATTGCGGTATCTCTTGTAAGTAATTTTAAGTATTTCATTGTAAGGGTCGGAACGTAGCTGAAGTTGCATTTTGTTTCTGTTTCTAATACAGCGAAGCATACCTGGAGTGACCCATGGCTTAATAACACGTTTTCTTCTAGGTAGAGTTTTAATCAGTTTATTTTCTTCTAGCGTTACAGTAAGTTTGTTTATCAATTGTTCAGCGACAAAGTTAGGATCATCACTAAAAAGCAGCGTTGCCAGATTATTCTCAATAAGTGTAGTGATCGCTTTGTCATAATCGATACGTATTACTGTCTTGAGACAATTTCTGCTTCGAATAAGTTTGGACAGTTTCATGAAAATGGTGTTATGATCTGTTGTAGTTGTATTTAACACTGCTATATGAGAAGACAATTTATTTTGGTCAAGTTTTAGCATAAAATGATCTGAATCGTGATGAATCATGATCTGATGATGGAAATGGCAGATGAGAGAAGCTCCTCAACAGTGTACAGCAGCTACCTTGTGTTTGGGCGCATATGAGTTGTTATGACGAGGACTTCCATTTTACGCACTTGAGCCATCCTTGAGGACACCGTAACGAAACACAGCTGAAGTGGAGCTAGTTTCGCGTTTTTTATTTTTAGACTATCACGGCAAACATGGAGATGAGGAGTTTGCGCGCGAATTCGTATGATTTTTTTAAAATTTATTAAGGCTTTGGCAAAGCCATCAGCCTAAACATGAAGTTTAATTATGTTTCTGTAAATATGGCCGCCACAAAGAGGATAGGCAATTTGAGGCGGCGTGCTTGGATTGACTCGGGTTTCCTTAAAACGGGCCGATACGGGTATTTTAGTTCGAGATTCGTATAATTTCGCGTTTTAATCTTCGATTAAGGCACAATAGCACGATCCTATTCCACTTTAAACTAGATTTCACAAAATAATTGAAAGTCAAAATAAAAACGACACTTTTCCCTCCAAAAGTTCCAGAGCGAATCTCCGAATTCGTATGAAAACTTTAAAAAAAAGTAGTTTTTTGGCTTTTCACGGTTAGCGTTTCAGCCATTTTAATGATTATAGCTCGTGGTCCCCAGAGGTCAATATAGTCTTTTATTTTGTTTTGGTTGCACAGTAAGAGAGATGTCGTTAGTAACTGCGTAATTATAATTTATCCGAAAATTTTGAAATGGTAGAAACTGGTATACCTATCTGGTACATAATGGTATTTTTTTAGTTTTGGTTGTATTTTCATTTTGAGTTTATCAATTTAGACATGTGGTAATCTAACATTAGTTTTTATGTACTATTACTAACAAATACTTATTATGGATTGATAATGTCTGAAATAAATGAATTATTATTATTATAAGAATTAAAAAACTTTCCTTAACATTTTTCCTATGACTGACGCTAGATGTCGTTAATATTAATTTAAAAAATCTTCACCTCATGTCGCGCAGTGCTACATTATTATTCACATTAACACAATCCTATTTATATCGTAAGACTAAAACATTGTCATTTCCATATAGTGACATGGGTTGTTGTGTCGCGTCGTGTAATGTAAATTCATAGTATGTAAGCCTCTGAAGCTGCCTGACAAAATGAAATTGGAATGTTTGCTCAGTATATGACAACAATCAACAACCTGATTCATTGTGATGAGGTAGCCATAGTCAACAACGTCAATGAATATTTCTAAGAGGCCAGAGCGTTATTGGTCTAAGATTTTACAAATAAAAACTTTGCAGAAATGTACTCAAAATGTTTTCATTATAGAGATTTAAAATTTGTTTCAAAAAAGCTTGGTAAAATAGTAAATAAAAAAGTAAAATAAAAATAAAATATTAGTTATTGCATAGGCTTACGTACTGTTTTGCTGTTGGGTTAATTGTATGAAATTATTTATTATTAACCAATAATGCACATTCAAACGCACATCAAGTTTCATTTTGAGTAGGACCTCTTCAGACGTGAAATATAAGTTGCACATGGAACCAAATTTAATACTGTCGGTTAGTAAGGTTTAATGCCTTATTGAAACTACAAAGCTATGATATAACAAATATTCCAAGATCGAAACTTAGAATATGATCTTTGCGCATTTTTAGTTCGCCAGTGGTTGCAATGCCCGTGGAGAGTTGCGTTTCTGAAAGATTTGGCTTACACGAAGATTACGAAGATGTGTTGTGTAATGAAACGCAGCAGTAGCGTCAAAAATGGGCCAATGGCGGCTTGCGTTGTCGACACACCTCCGGATTTAAAATTGGATCGTCTGCGCGCGCAGCTGAACCGGTATCGAGCGTCACGCACGTCAGTGTCAGTTGTCAGTCGACACCGGGAAGTCGTAGCCGCGTGTGTTGTCGGCCGTAATTCCGATTCGCTTGTGATCAGTGCGCGTATATCATGGCCTTACTCAGAAGATTGGTAATAATCACGCCGCGCTACGTGCGTCCTTATGCCTCCGCACCACCTGCGCGCGACGAGCTGGACGTCTCCTTCAATAACCCAATAGATGCCTTTAAGAGCAAAAAGACCAGTGAATTGATCCGGGCCTACCTGGTCTACCAGATATGCTCAGTGAATTTTCTCGTCGAGAACAACGACATGGTGAGTGGGACAATGCATGCGATCTTACGTAATACTGAGACTCCCATTAAGACAATGCGCCGGTGCTGAAATTGTTCTAAAATTATGAGTTTGTCCTTGTTACTAGCCGGTAAACTTAATGACGGTAGTTTAAGGATGGTTATATTGTTGCTCACATGCATGTGATTTACAAAAAATGCGCGTTTTATTAGGTTAATCGTCAATCGATAAGAGTTATTCTACAAGACAAACATGGTAGCCGGAGAGATCGAAAGCTAGGGAATGAATTGCGAACAGAAATTGTTCATTGGTCGGTGGTTGAGCGCATGCGTGTTTACCAGACGGTGGTCCAGACACCTCGCGAACCGGCTTCCTTGAACTGGTTTTCACGTCTTCATTTAAAAACGTGTAGCGAAAATCGTGAAGGGAACGAACTCAATAATAGCTCTTATTTTCTTATGAATCGCTCTCGAGTTAATTCAAGTTCAATGGTCCATGATGGATTGCGTAATTTGTTATGCATACCTACTCTCTATTGTAATTGTGTAAACGTTTCTTTCGTGGCCTTAAGTCTCTTAATTTAATTTTAAGACGGTTTTACACGCTGTTTTGCAACTGCGATCAATATAATAATAATAACGCACACACTCAACATAGCCCCGCACCAGGGAAACCCTGAGTCGCGGGTGCCATGGACATACAGACAATCACAAATTACACCCAAACTCACGAGAGAAATGAATGTAGCCCATACAAATGTTTCTCCCGGCCCGGAAATCGAACCTGGGACCTCTGCGTGGCAGTCCGGCATGGTAACCGTTCGGCCACAGAGGCAGTTAAAAATAACGGCTAACTAACGTAAAACTTCCATTAAATACTGCCGAAAATGCGCCGTTGAAGGGCATTAAAAACGATTTTTCAACTTATGACTGAAGGTGACGGACGCAGTGGCAGTGCTCCTCAGATCTTTATGACTTTACAGTTCTGAGTGGCACTGCAACTGTTACGGCGTTTCGCTTACCATCAGACACACGACGAAGCACCATAAACAAAAATCCCAGTGGGAGGAAGAAGAATCTTTGATATCGTTGCCATGGAAGTAATACGTTTTTTTTAACTCGTGACGCATCCTAGAGACACACGGTGTCCTTAACGATATTGGTAACTTATTTTTAAAATATTTTTTTTTAATGGTGCATTAAATCACAGCTGCGTGTTGGTATAGATACCGTATGGCTCTAGGACGCTACAGTACCAAAATCGTTAGGGACACTGAATGTCTCTTTGATGGTTGAGGGGTTAAACCATAATTTCCAAGAGTCCTAGGGGGTCCTAGGTAGGGACTTCGGAAGCAATTGGGGGACGTTGTTCAGGGGATACTACCGTATTTGAAAAAATACCTGAATTATCTATATAAACTGCACCACATACATATATTTTTTCCTTGTGATTTTTGTCTTAAGTTAATATAAAAAAGAAGTGTTTTCAATTGTTTTTTGCGGTGGTGGGCGATGAATTTTTTCTTTATTTGCTTGACTGGGCTAAAACTAAAATCCAAACGCTTCGGCAAAAAAGCTATTAAAACCAAAAACAAAGGTCTACAACAAGCACTGGACAAATTCGTAAGATCAGTTGGGCTTGAAAGAGCGATAGCCCCGGTTTGGCGAAAAAGTTGCTAGCGAAACCAGCCCAATTGAAGAAATTTTTTTCGTGTTTGTTCGTTCTTTATGTCAATAATAACAATGAAACCCATTCTTTTTCATGCGGCTAACGAGTGGCACAAGCAAATGAAAAAACACTTTGAAAAAACTATAGTTTTCACGATCCATTAACACAGAATCTTGAAACATATCTCTTTTTATGACAATTGTCCTCAATATAACTTTCCATAAAAACTTAATGGAAAACAATCCTCGCGACTATTGTAAGCGAACAACTTAGTTGCTTTTTCTTTACTTCGGAAATAATGTTTAACTAGTTTTCATTATGTCCGTCACGAAACCCACAGTTCTTGACTAAATCGTTGAAGCCGTGGTAAGTCACTAACATTTATAAGGACACTGTAAAGAATTACACTTTAGAAACAAGAGCAAAACGGTTACAAGTATTTACTGCTTCTAATGTAAGGTGTGTTTTGTAATTTATCAAATATGATAGGACAGAAAAAAGACTGTTTCAGGATTTTTTTATGGTACTACCAAGTGACGGGGCGTACTAGTTGTACGCAAGGCGGTAAATGACAGAGCTTTAAATCACAATCACAAAGACCTGACGTTGACAAGTCTCAGGGTCCCTTAGCGCGTTTGAGCACTGCATCCAATTCGCATTCATTCCAAATCCGAGACTATACAAATCTATATAATCCCAGTACAGAGTACTAAAAAAACCGACCTCAAAAATACGTCCTTAAATTCGCCACTATACAGGACTTGACACTGGAGATAATAAAAATCGGTTCTCACTACTGAAAGAATATGGAGAGAAAAACGCCTTGAATTGGAGAAATAGCAAAATCAACCATTAAAATAATTGCTACTTAAGAAAATTTAGGCGCTATTTATAAAAATGAATCTTCATGCGTGAACAGCAGCAGCAGTGGATGATTTGCTTCAAAATGAAATGGGACCACTATGGAAGTAGCCCCTTTCCAATAAAAAAGAATCATGAAAATTGGTTCACAAATACCGGAGTTATCGCGTAACATACATACAAAAAAAAACATACAGTCGAATGAGAACCTCCTCCTTTTTTTAAGTCGGTTTAAAACTCGAACCCACTTCGGCTATCGCTTGTGCACTAAATCCGGTTCGAATCCGAGAGAATACGAATATCACTTGTACTTATAGGAAATGAAACTATTTTTCCGGATTTAAATCGCGTATATTTGTTTTTTCAAACAAACCCACGTTTCGGACCCTTTACGTTTCGGGCACTTTACCCGGGTAAAGTGCCCGAAACGTCGGTTTGTGTGTTGTTTCATTTCCTATGTGTAACAATCGCGAAAACCTAAGAACTCGATATCACTTGTACTACTAGAGATAAAATGATGCCTATGACATTTCGGACTGTCATTTCTTGGATTCCGAACTGTGTATCTACTCTCGCTCGACATTCCGTCGGAAACAATTACTTCCAAATAAGTAATATTCGACCAAATCAAAACACAATGTCAAGTATGAAGCTTCATTCGCATCATGCGTGTTTTAATTTAGTCGAGTATTATTTATTTGACAGTAATACTTTCGGACGGATGTCGAACGGAGAATGGGAGTCGACCCTCTGACACGAATCGGACGTAGTATGCAAACGCTCTTACCCTCCAAAACCGGAACACAGCAATGCTCACATTGCCAGCGGCAGAATTTCCCTCATACGAGTATTTTCTTAACTCGATACTTGGTTTATCTCACAATAAATCATAAACAAAAATGTGTGGTTGTTAGTTTCATTAGATCTCTTTCAATGTAAAGGGCGCGTTCGTTTTATTAGTTTAGACTAGGAAAAAAACAACTATGAACAAGGTAAGTCCCATATGCCTGTAATATCAACAGCACCCTTAAACTACGAAACCGGAACGCAGTAATGCTCACATTACTGCTTGGCGGCAGAAATAGGTAAGGTTAGGTAAGGCAGCACTTCCCTGGACCAACTCTTTCACAGGCAGCTCTACTGCTACTCAACTGGGTAAGGCAGAGGCTATCCACTACGCCCTTATACACCTATTTCGCTTCGTCTACCTTTTACAGTCTTTTTTGAGGGTATTCTCAGTCTATTTGACATGTGTAAATCTAATTTCACTTTACTTCACGCATTAATTGCATGCTATCGGCTTCGACTGCGTACAGGTAAAGCGTGCAGTCGTTATCAGACACCTCTACTGCATGAAGTTGATTACAACTTCACGCATTAAGTGCAAACATGCAGTCAATCTCTTAACAGCCTTACTTCTCCATTCGTGCACCCTATTCGCTTTATAAATTTCTGGCCTTTACGCTACTAACATCCACTCTTCCCTTTTAAGTTCTATGCACTAATTACATCATCTTTCCTACCATTCTCTTATTATTGTCTTCCTCTTTCTGCCTGTGCGAACAGCGGCGCCGGCGCAGGCCCATGTAGCGCCCGTGTGCAATCAATAATCTGGCGCCATCTAGTAGTGTACACTGTAATCCCTGTAATATTTACACAAATTCCAACTAATACATATACAGTGCATAATACCTCCCTTTGAAATCCCACAATATAGTTTTTGTATATTTTTCATGTGTAACTAACTTCCAATCACTTTACTACGACAGTGTATTTAGAAGAAAAGTATTGTAATTATATAAGTCAAAATTTACTATTCTTCATTCTAATCATTTCGGAATTTCAAAGAGAGGTATTATTCACTAGACGTATTACCCTTGAAGTTAAGTATACTTTACATTATAATATCCAAATATGGCATCCGCCAAATCGTGAGAGCTGAACAGAGATAATCATTCTAAACGTATTCTAACTACCGTCGTTAACTTTTAACGTTCGTTGCACCTTGCTAAATGATTACTAATTTGCACCAGACGTGTGTTGTGTTGCCGAGGCAATATTATCGCAAATGAACGTAACTGCAACGTTAATGGAAAAGTTATTTTCATCACACTTGCTCGTAAATAGTATGATTGCATCGTGGCTAACTTGACTGTAATGCCCCAAATAAAACCCTCAGGCATTCTTTCTTTCCATTACAGCCATGGTCGGTAAGGAGTTTTTCTTTAATTTGTAGCGTGATATGCTTGCATAAATAGGTCAGGTTCAAAATTAAACCATTCGCCTTATACAGAAATTTAATTGCAATTCAGCCACTTACTATTTAAATACCTATTATTAAGAATTTCTTCTAGAATACAGCCATCATGGCAGTATGCGTCTTTGCTTTTTAAAACATTTTAGTTCGAGTTGTATTATCTATGGAAGAATAACTAACTGGCTATCCATTGATAAAAAAAACCCCGTCATTTGCAAAAATCCGTAGTTGTTGT